AGTGCTATGCATGGGTGGAAGGTCCTAGGACATGAGATCATACATGCATAATTGAGTTTTGTGGCCTATTTCTCACGTAATTTAAAGGGCTACATTTACTGTGCAGGGGCTGTGCAATTGTAGAGTTGTTTGCATACGTGTAACTCTGCTTATGCAAGCTTGTGATCATGAGAAATGCATGTCCTTCATGCATAATTCAGTCTTGCATGTAGAATTTGGGCTCCTTTCCCGTGTAGGCTGCTTTGAATTATGCAAGCTTTGAATTAGAGCACAAAAGGGTCCTGATGACGCCATCCAAGAGGGTTATGATGCAATCTGATGCCCTGATGATGTGATCAAGGATGGGTAAGCTTCAGATAAATGTATATAGCTTATTCCTCATCCATTTCACGCTTCTACTAGCTGATTCTTTATACATATGTAATTATTTATGGCTTATAAAATATGTACATAATGTATAAGAATAAACATTGTTTTAATACTTTATTCTAATGATATTTCTGTGAAATCCTAGTGATATTATATGTACAATACTCAAGGGGATTTCACAGTTAATTATAGAATTATTAAATATAAATTATGAATTAAGATTAAATGTAAATACATATTTATTTATTTATTATTCTAACAACAATGTATACTATTTTCCAGTATTCAATTAATTATTATTATTGCAGTTACTAGGTACATTTCACGTACTGTGAAATGTGCTCTGTGGCTGACAATCCTCTAGTAATAAATTTCGCTCAACTTCCTGACTTTCGTGATCTAATCCCCACAGCTCAAATTGCTTGGGTGCTGTTTGGATATCGTATGCCAAAGATTGAGAAACGTGACCAATTGTGACTCCCTCGACTCGGATTGTTCTGGAGAGTTGAATTGCGATCTGCCCCGAGGTTCCGTGGAAGGGCCAGCATGTCCCCAGGCTGAGATCGGAAACAAGTATGGTGAGTGGAGGACTTCCGGAGATTTTCTGGAATTTTTTGGCAAAGGGAAATTGGGATGGTCGTATTTGGCGATAGTAGCTCCATGTTGGGGACGTCAAGTGTTCAATGATTGATGCACCGGCAGAAAAAGATGCAAAGTCTTGCTTTGACTGGGTAATACATCGCTTGCCTTCCTCGTACGCTGGAAATTCATGGCTCGGGTTCTCCCAAGGGGAGCTCATCTTCGAGTGATTTTCGACTTGGAAAAGTACCTTCTCAAATTCGGACCGCTGTACCAGGTCGTGGTACAAACCGACGAGTCCTTCGATTTTTTCTGCCGTTTTCGAGCCCTTTTCTTGTAGATCTTGTATGCGGTTATCGAGAAGGGTGACCTTCTCATCGAAAGATGACTGCTTCCGGGCGAAAACTACACAAGAAAGCATTTATCAGACTACATTCTGTTGTACTTGAATTGAACAATGGCACAGCTGATCAGTTGCAATAAACACTAAACCGATTAGAACCAAGCCAAATGCTATTGCCAATATACCGCTCCACTTTTGCTTAAGGCGTTTCCATCCAATCGCAGCCTTCCTTCCAAACGTTCCGACCGATCGCGGATTGGTGCCCCTTGCATCGTGAGGTTGAGGAGTAGGCATGACCGCACAGAATCAGGGCATGCAAGAAAAAATCTGGCGGGCACGCCGTGCGGACAACTTTCCCAGTCCTCCACGCTGCGGAGATGGGCGCCTCCTCGTCTCCAGGCGAGAGGGGCTTGTGTCAAAACAGAATTATGTAATATGTACACCAGTTTTGTACAAAGAAACCGGTGCAATATTTCAGGAGTGTTTCAGGGACTTGCAAAATTTGGACACTGTCGGTTCCTGATCCGGTGACCATTCTTTGAGGCTGAGAAATCTGCGTGGAGGCAGGTAAACATTGTGTAAGATCAGGGTTTTTTTTTGTAAGTGCCTGTGAGATGCCCCACAGCGTGACAAAAGAAAGAGAGAGAAGCTGTAACTGCAGTCCTGATCATTGCAAACAAAGGAAAAGAAAATTATGAAAAAGAAAGAGAGGAGAGGAGAGAGGGAGGAAGAGGAAGAGGAACAGGGGCGGATACTTTGCCAGCGATAGCTCGCTCTCGACCAAGCGGCGTTACACCCCGCGTCAACCTCACCTGCAGGCTGCTACCCACTCACTAATGCCACTCCCATGATGACATAAGAGCCGATGGTCCTCTTTGGCAAACAGCTCAAGAAAACACTCACTCGCTGAGAGGGTTTCCTTCTCGGCAAGCAGTTAATGAACCTGCTTGCCGCCATCTTTTCACCCCTGCAAAGTCCGTTGCCCATGCGAGAGGGAATAATTGGATGGGGTCTATGAAGATTACGTCAACGACCCTCAGCATCAAAGCTTGCGCACGTAACTTAGAGACTAGAGACAAGATTGTATGATTTGATTATAAGTCAAAAGCATTCTTGCCGATTGAATCATGTATTATCTAACTACCGCCACTGAAAAACAATCTATAGAGCCATTTTGTAGTTGAAGTGGATAATACGGTCCATTTAGGCGGAAACGTTGATGTTGATGATCCGCAATAGATGTGAGTTTGTTTTGATTGATCAATTATTCGGTGTCGTCCATTGCCGACCCTGATAATCCCCTTGACAAACCTCTTCGGGACGGATGACTTCCCAGTCAAGCTCCGACATATCCAAACTGGTCCGGAAAACTAAATCAGTGGGTATTTTCTTCAACCTGGCTAGGAAATTCCATGGAGAGGTTGTTAGACACTTACTTTTCAAGATTCTTCACGCCAGGGCTTGGCCCCATCGCCTCCAGTTCAAATACCTCCCCATCCTTTGCAGAGGTCAGCCTGGCCTCCATGTTGATGATTGCGCGCAAGTAACCGGCGGATCGACTATAGGCACGGATGTCGTCAAGCAGGCGATCAATCGTTCTTTCTCCGTTTTTCCTGAAGCTCGATTCTTCAACCGTCGTAAATGTAGTTCCATTCTCAAGCCAGTCGTTGTGGTCCTCCTTGGCATGTTTACACGCAAGTTCTTCAAGCAGATTTGCGGCGTCTCGAACACGGTTCATTCGGTGACTATATTCTTGTTGCAACAAATGCCTTTTGCTAGCTGATAGGGTGTGCGGTGTCTTGAGAAACTTGGACATAAACCAAGCAGCCGTCCACAGGTCATCCTCTCGAATCGCTTGCTGGATTTTTAAGAAGGCGAGATCACGTTCCTGGGTATTGCGTTGGATCAATGCCATCCTGTAAAACAATGGGAATGTGGGCTGGAGGATGTATGTACGTCTTCGTCTAATTTTATTGATGTCTTTCAGCCCGACTGCTTACATTTTACAACAAGTCATTCAATCTCTCAAGTGGGCCCTTTAGGAAGACGAACGAAGCTTTTCGCCGCCAATCTAGCATGGTCTGATCATGTCTCTGCCTGAGATCTAGATTATGTTTTTGCCAACACTCGCTAGATCATGTTTTTGCCAATACTCGCACTGCACATGGTGGAAATGGATGACCAGCTGGATGGCGAACTTCGAAGTACCAGGATCCTACAGCTCTATACGTGGTTTCAATATGTATAAGCATGTAGCTCTTATTGCCTCGAAAGCTAAATTCTGAATGAGATGAAAATTTAGTTCTCCAGAGCTTTTGGGCAATTGAAACTTGAATTGTAATTTACCCCACGGCAGCCGGGGACTTATGCGAGTGTGATTGGTAAACCCGCGAACTCGTCCGTTAATAAGTCACCTCCGGCATCAGCTAGAGAATCCCGAGAAAGGAGGGGGGTTCTCAGCCGGTTGCTGGGGAGATTTATTGCAGTTTGTAATTGTGCCCCAGGTTTTTTGGGCCGAGCAAAGGGAATGATGTGTTGACTGTAGCCGCCTTGTCGCATCAGCAGGGTGCTTCAAGGAATCCGAACTCTTCCTAACCAATGACTAAGTCTCGACAGAGACCCTGCGGGGCTGCCCTCTGGGCTCTCACTCGAGAGGCTTGTGTCAGGCTCGATGACTAAGCCCATTGTAACAAGTGCATAGTGCACACAGGCAGGCGGATTTTCTATCACTAGGTGACCTGGCAATACAATCCATCTTCGTACACAACTAACCACTGCCACCTAAAATCGCCCTATTCTCCCGAGAAACTCACTTCATCTTCCCCATCTTATCAACATACCCCTTGAGCAACCTGAAAATGCCCAGCCACTATTCTTGTCCTCACCTACCTACTTGCAGCCTTATCAAATATAGCAAGAAGCCTTGTGACCAACACTCTCGCCTGAGTGAATCTGGCGTCAAAACCCATACTTTGAACCCAAGAATTCACAGTAATTGCACTCCCGATTGTCCCGTATACAAATTCGATGGTAAGCGTGAGGTTGTCATGCAGTATACAATACAAGTTGGATTGACGTTTTGTGCTTTTCTCAGCCCTATCATTAGAGACTTTTCCGTTTCGACCATTCGATCCCAATCCTCTCAACCGCCGGACACAAACGCGCCGCCCGGTACCAACATGCCGCCCGGCACGAGCACGCTGCCCGATACAAACGCAGGAAACACGAGCGCTTACTACTGATACCGCTATCCACCCACACAGCACTACAGAAAAAAAAAAAAAAAAAAAGCCCCACTTTGAGTTTGAACGAGTCGAAGCAATCGCGTGAGCTATCATCATCTTGAGTGCTTTACGTCTACGTATCCTGGAAATCTGACTTTGTTAACTCATATAGGTACGTTGGTCAGTATTCGAGTACTGTTCAGAGTAATTGCGTACAGTCTGTTGGTTGGCACCTGGTCGCAAAGCTACTTTTCATTGCAACTGGACAACCCTGATCCGAATTTAGAATACATGTGCAATCTCGCTTGTTTTCACTTTCGTTCCGCCCTGCTGCAGATCATTCAGCTCAGAGCACAGGAAGAGTTCTGCCTCACTGCTGTACAGATATTCTTATGTCTAGTGTTCGTGTTTTGAATCTCATGTACTCGAAGTAGAAGTCAGATGGCTGGACCATGGAGGACTTAACGCACGCCAATGGAGATAGCGACAAAATCAGAAAAGCAATACAAAAGAAAGCCGAGACCGACAGACTGATGAATATATGTAGAATCATTTGATTGGATGGGGTCGAATGGAATTTCTTAGAAACGTAAATATGTAGTCGGAGGTATCGTACCGACTCCCGAGTCTTACAACAATAATTCATCTGGAGATCGAGCTCAGCATTTGGCTAAAAGTTTCGAGCTCAACCATGAAATGGCAAAGGTCTTCCTTGACACCGTTAGTCATCTCGATACATCACCCCGTCAATCTCCTGTGCGTTCCTGGCTTCAGTTCTGCCGATGGACAAGGGAAATCAACCCCCACACCAAGCACAAAGCACTGCCTTCGCACACACAGATCAAGTCAAATAAATGAGCAAGGTGGATCCGGTGATGGATCCGGTGATGCGGTTAAGTATCAAGGAAGTAGTAAAATTTACTCCGGGTCCGCGTTCCGGGGACTCGGGAGCCTGCGACCTCCTCATGGGTTTGCAAGATATTATTCGCGCCGAATTGACCATAGGCTTTATGCTTGATCTGCGGCCGCAAAGAACTGTGCCAGTGTGACTTTCCTCGCCGTGGGTTTCCCCGACCCGATGGTCCTCAGGTAAGGCGGGTGAGGTTTTAGGACCGAGGAGATTGTCAAGTAAAATTGAAGAGCGGCCAAAAATTGCTCACATGCGCTTGCTTCTCATGAGCTGGTCTTCTTTGCGACGGTCGAATAAAGCTTCACTAATAATGGCAGAAATGCATAAAACACTGTGTAACCGCAACGTGGAGACTAACCTCGTCGCGCATAACCGCGATGTGTGGATTAACCTCCACGTAAGATGATGAACCCGGCCGTTATCCCGAGCTCTCCCCACGCGCAATATGTGCTATTCCAAATTCGCAGCTCAGTTCTGAATGTAAAAGAGGAGCGGGCCCACCATAGCGGGCTTACTCGCGGATACCAGGATGTCACTCTTAATTTCTCAAAATCATAACAGCGTTGGCGGAGACAGTAGTTATCCTGCATACATATGCTGTCCGCCGAACCTAGGGGTCGACGCATTTATCTGTTTGAAATATTATTGGTGAAGTTTGTTTCAGGCGCGCTCCACCCGAGGACGAATGGATTCCGAGTTTTTGTGGTTCATCTGGGAGTTGGAAGGCAACCATGAATTGTGGATGGGCGTTCGTGCGCAACTCGCGCTTTGTGCGGTGAATTACCCTAAATAGACGGCCTAGCGACAGAAATGCAAGTCATGGGAAGACTGCAGAGCTCCACCCACGAAAACGATTGAGTCTCCACCTGATTGGGTTACACTCCGGCCTGCAGGTTTGCTCATCCATCCCTTTACTGTTTCCCTACACTTGGTTGCGGATTTCCTCATGGCAGCTGAGCACTAACTTTTTCATTGCGTTCACATTCTCATTAGCCTTGTTGTCATTGATTGAAAAGACCCGTAGGAATGGCGCCTCGTGGAAACGCCGGAAAGGGCAAAAGTGCCCAAAAAGCACCAATAGTGATGGCGCCTCGTGGAAATTTGAAGAAAAATACCCAACACCAGGCAGCAGAGTTGAAATTGCTGGAAGACGAAAATTATGCAAGGTTGAAAATCCGATTGGATGAGTTCGAGGTTGGCAGTCATTCAAATTCTGTGTGTACATAACGTCTTGCCTCAAGTTGATTTGTTTTTTTCTGCTTCATACAACAATCTCACAGAGAAGTATGGACTTGAGCATGATGCAAATGAACTCAAGACTTGCAGCGGAATTGTCTCCAAACGTTTGTCATTGGATTGCTGCATGTTTCGCAAAACCTTTGAATTGAACTGATGCGCTCTGTGAAATCAGGCCCCAACCATGGCAGATCTTAATGCCAATCTCACGGAACTGCGTGACAAAACTGTGACTGTAAGTTACAAACCGGATACTGTCATTCCGGTAACTGAATTGTGTAACCACTTTGTAGTCGATTCGGTCGAATGATCAGCTGGGAGGGAAAATTTGCGAACTTGAACGTAAATGGCGAGAAATACATGAACGCATCGAGAAGGACGTAAGATGTTAAATTCAAAGCAATGTCCCCATATTTTAAAGCTGAATCTCATAATCTCTCATAGTCGAATGGTCAGCTGGGTGGAAAAATTCCTGAACTTGAATCCCGATGTCGAGAAATGGTTGACCGCATGGAAGTGGAGGTAAGACATTTATTTCGAGGTGTTCAACACTTTCATTTTCATTTGAACTAAATCCTACAATTGACCTCTGCAAAATCAAATAATCAGCTGGGGAAAAACTTCTCCAAACTTGAATCTAAATGTAAAGACATGCTTGGTCGCATGGAAGTGGAGGTAAGACGTCTAATTAAAATGAGTTGTTCCTCATTTTTTTTTCTCGTTTTTTTCGTTTTTTTTTCGTTTTTTTTTTTTTTTTTTTTTTTTTTTTTCATAACAGCTGAATCCTGCGATCCTCTTGATACCCAAACAATCAGGCGGAAAAACAAAAATCCAAATTTGAATCCAAATGTCGAGAAATGCTAGGCCGCATGGAAGTGAAGGTAAGTTGCCCAATTAACAGGAGTAGATATAATTTACCCACATGTCAACAAATCCTTGCTTTTCACCACAGACAAGCGAACAACTGGCAATCTCTCCATATGACCCTAGCTCTAATGACAGGAGCCAAGACGCGATGTGCGCTCCTCAAAAAAATCTTGACTCAGTTCAGGAAGTGATGCGGAAAAGTGAGGAAGCCGTGATGAAGAACTGGAAGGAGCTCGAGAAGCACAAAGCTGAATTGGGACACATGAAAAGTCTCGGCCAACAAGTTTGTACAAGCACAGCTCAGTCTCAGTTGCCGTGTTGACTTTTTTTCTTCCTTTTTTGATCGGCAAGCTTTCCGACCAGATTGCAGACCTCGACAAATTATCAAGGCAGAATCAGGACAAGCTTGCAGGACAAGCTTCTCAGATTACATTTCTTTTCCGAGGCGGTCAATCTGTGGCAAACCGCCAGGACGAGGTTGAAGGTCAGCTCAAAGCAGTAAATGAATTTGTTACACATTTGTCAGACCCAAAGCGGCCGCAGGTCGATGAAATAGTGCAACATCAATCAATGGCAAGCTCTCGTTTTTATTTGACATTCAGACTCGTTTTACAAATCAGCATGCCTAATATCGTGTCATTTTATAGGAAATTGATGTTTTGGCAACTGGGATCGATGGTTGCAATGTGGACACTTCAAACATCATGGAATCGGTGGTAATTAATCACATGGCTTCCTTGAATTTTTGTAATGACTCTCAAGCTTACCCCAAATCGATTATCATACAGACAAAAAAGTGCAACGAACTCGGAAAAACCCAACACCACAACTTAACGGCTGCCGTTGAATCCTTGAAACAATGGGTTGTTTCAGCTTTAAAGAAAGAAATCAAGCCCATATCTGAGCAGGCAAAACGGAACTCAAGCGCCATTAAAGAGCAGAGGGACAAACTTGATCTCCTCAACAATGTGAAACCACAAGTGAGCAAAGCAGACTTTCCGATTCTTTTTTGATTCACCAACTAATTTATATCCATCAGCTTGATCTTATTTCTGAAGCCCAACGGAAGGTTTTCGAAAAACTGGCAACTATAGAGACCATCGACCTTAAGGAAAGTACTCAAATCCAATCAATAGTAAGCTTCTAATCTTTATGGCTTCTCATAATCTAACAATTGTCACACTTTTGCCTCGCACTCATCAGGACATGGTGGAGACAGAAAGGATTACGGGTCTCATGGTAACTATTTTACCTTCCTTGTGATTTAGTTCTTGAGCTGACCATACAAGTCATCTCCTACAGAAAAGCAAATGCGAGGAATTGTTCTCTGTCATACAACGCAGCTTCAATGCTGATCTGGAATCTCTCAAGCAGAAACAGTCCAATGAGCTTCTCCAACAAAGCCGTCAACTTCAATCCATGTTAACTGTTAAAGCTGAAGTTAGCAAATTTTGCTCACATCTGGAACCAATTTTGTTGCTGATTGATTTTTCTTTCTTTCTCTTGATCTGCTAGATTGAGGGAAAGATAATAGACTTGATAGAGGCTAACAAGAGAAATGAAAATGGTCTTTCGAAGGCAAAATCTGATGTCCACTCGCTCATTCAACAAAGCCAAGTGATTTCCCAGCGCCAAAATGACATTGCGAAGGACGTTTCCAAATTGTCTCGAGAGAAGAACGAGGTCCAGCTTGGCAATACGAATATCCAATGTGAATCGATGGCAAGTCTATTTATTTTTGTGCTGTACTCATCCGATGACCGCTTTGATTGACGTGAATTCTTTTTACACCTTAGGAATTGGAGACACCAACCGTCTTAGAGCTTATGGTAAGCTGTGTCGATCTCTATGATTTCGGATCGTCGAAAGCTAACCACAAAAAAAAATACCTTCAAACAGCAACAAACCTGTAACGAATCACTGAAAAACCATCAACGCAAATTCAATGCCGACCTTGAATCCCTCAAGCAACATGTTTTATCTGTTCAAAAAGACGAACTCCGACCTATCGTTGAACAGGCAAAGCAGACGTCTAACGAAATTTTCAAGCACCGTACTCAACTTGATATCGTAGCCCGCGTAAAATCACAAGTCGGCAATTTTTCACTTAATGCAATGATGGTCCCATGACTAACTGCGTTGATTTCCGTTAGATCGAGGGAAAGGTATCAAGCTTGGAAAAAGCTTCTGAGACAACTCAATCCACTCTTACCGAGGCCAATTCAGCCATCCGATCACTCATTGAAAAGACGGAGCTCATACAACGGCACCAAGCTACACTTGAAGAAAATTTGACAAGTCTTCAAGATGAAACTGTGCAAATGCAGAACGGAAATCCAGATCGAAACCAGACTTCTACTGCTTTACCTTTTCCACCTCCTCTCATCCCAGACGTCTCGATTGTTCGATTTCAAAGCTCTCCTCAAACTTCCTCACCCATTTCGATTGAGAGAGACGACATTTCGGTTGTCGGAGTAGAACGTTCTCAAGCTGAGGGATCCCGCACACAGGATCACGCAAATGATGAATCAAACGAACAACATGATGTTCACGAAAGGCCATCGTCAAAGCGCTCGAACTTACGAGCACGCAGCTACACAGACGAAGAGTCCGATTCCTCACCTGCCCCATACAGTCGATCAACATCAAGAGCTCCCGGGAAACTCACCAAAAACCAAAAATGGAGACGCGAAACCAGGAAGAACAAACCTAATAAAGGAAAGAGGGAAAGTTTGAGAAAGGAGCGTGAAAGCATGGAACCATCCCAACGAGATGATGATATCACTTTGGTAAGTCCAATAAACATGCAGGGCCAAGAGTTGTGTTGATGAATATCCAAATTCTCCCAGTCCAATGCAGTCCACGCACACATCCGGATCATAACGGGGCTCCCCAGGAAGAAAGGTGCTTTTCTCCCCACACCAACACTCAAAGAACTGGACAATATGCCTCAATTGGAAGAAGGTCCATTGTCCGTCTCCGCCAAGTACAAAGTCGCAAATGTGACGCAAACCTGGGATCCTGAGGACGAAATGGGTGACGGTTTCTCGCAGTATTGCCTGCGGCGCATCAAGCAATATGGTCTTCCATTTGTGGGAATAAGCACATTACTTGATAATCCCAAGGCGTTGGAATGGAACCGTAGGACGGTCGGTTTCCTCAGTGACACATTCTACCATGCAGTACAAGCCGGCGACTACGGCAAAATTTTCCGGGCCGGTTATGACATTCACGACGGTGGCTTGGAGAGAGCTGAGACACTCATTCGAACAAATCTGGACTACCGAATTGCTGAGATGACAAAATATCTCAAACGTGCAGACACCAAGAGCCACCCGGTTTCTTTACCCGATGACCCTGCCACACCAAGCAATGTTGGGGAGGGAGAATCAAGGGCAAGGAGATTGCGAGCAGCTGACGAGAAGAAAGATCGGATATTTGCACGACGTGTAGCTGTAAGAGCCGCTTTTTTAAGAAATTTTCGCCAAATATTTTGCTGATTCCTTTGTTTCTCCAGTTGGGACAAAGACGCTATCAGACAGCCTGTGCGATTCCAGAGTTTCATAGATATCGCAGCCTTTTTCTGGACAAACGTCTTTGTTCATCGGATGAATCTAATGCTGATGCAGATGATGACACAAGAATCAGACATGCACCTGTTTGGCGTAGCAGCAAGGCCACTGCCCTGGTCGAACGAATTGACAAACAAACTCAAATAATTCGTGCTAACGGACCTTCGAAAGCCGGCAGAAAGCCAGGGAAGCGTCTCAATTTGGGGGCCGAGGCCCCACTTGGAGGTTTGGAGACAACACCATGCCGTCTACCTGAAGACGTTTATGGCACTTTATGGATGAATTCTCAGTCTGCAGAACAAAAAAAGGCACTTCAATTGAAACCCGCCATTTTTGATGAGTGACAGGTAGCATCTCGGCAAGGTTTTGTGTTTTGCCAGTTTTGTTTTACTTTGTTGCCCTCCAGACAGTGTTTCTGTGGTTTGCCTGTTTGCCATACAACTATATTATCATTCTCTGTGCTGATCAGCATAAATAAACCTTTGATCATTCTATAGAAAAGAGCTCAAATGAGGCCCTCTGATCCATACTTTTATAATCTGTGGTCATTTCTAACTGACATACTGTGTAGTCATTAACTGATTTTACCCTATTTGTACATACAAAAGAACATTTTTGAAATGTTGTTTTGATTTACACAAGTTCAGCAAACAACATTCACGTTGTGGGGGTTCAAAGAATGATTGTGAGAATAATAAGATGAAAAATGTTTGAAAAAAGGAACTCCTGGATGTTTTTAAACAGTTATGAAGTGTATTCAGCTGTCGTTGAGTGGGCAAGTATCAGACCAACATCTGCATGTTATTTTTTTATTTATTTTTTCACATACCGCACTATGCTTCCCGGCGGCTTTGGTTCCAAGGCTTTTCAGCCTGACCGGCGAGAGACGCACAGCCCCTTGACAGAAAAAATGGAACCCTTTGATTGGAGTCTAGAGTTCAAACCAATGGACCAAAATTTATGCATCCTGGTGAAACTTTAGGAAATGAGGTTCAAAAAATGAACCTGAAAAGTTGGATAGAAAAATGTTTTGCAAAACATTTGTATATTTTTTCTCATTTTCCTCATTTTTTTGGTATTTTTCAATCATTTTTCAAAGTAGTTCAAAAAATCAGGATCCACACATTTGCATGTGAAAAGAATGATTATAAATGAAAAATAAATAAAAAAAGATCTAAGGTTTAGAGAGCAGAAGAAACTGGACTGAGATTGGAATTAAATTTATTTCAGTGCCTAATTGTTGGGTTGGTCTGGTGGATGACACATTCCAAACCTATTTAAAAACAGCTTTTGATCATGTTTTTTCAATTTTTCATTTATAATCATTCTTTTCACATGCAAATGTGTTGATACTGATTTTTTGGACTACTTTGAAAAAGGGGGTTGGAAAAACGACTCCCAAATTTTCGCCGACCACTCCCGTTTTGGTCGAGGGGTTGTCGGCTGGGAGTCGTTCTTCCAAAAGATGGCCGACTTTGGGAGTCGGCCATCAAATTGTTTTTTTATTTTTTTAATTTATTTTTGGGGAGTCGGCGCCCCAAACCGCCCCTCATGCTTGAGGGGGTTTGGGAGTTGTCGCTCCCGCTCCCATGACCGGAAGGATTTCCTCCTTCCGGTCGACAAGAAAAAAAAG